AACAAAGAAATTAATGTTGGAGGTGAGAGATGATAGCAAAAGGTTCATCTCACTTTCCAACCCATCCAGCAAATCAATACAAATTAACAGCTAGTATATAAATAGACTCTATTAAGTCATCATCCTTTATTAAGCAACATTGCCCCAAGGTCAAGACTAGCCAGCCCTTCCCGCGAAAGGACGTACTCCCTGCGTTCCACTTTAATAGTCTTAGTTCTTTTTTCACACAGTTTAAAAAAAAAGTAGTTAATTTTGTTGGAACAATCAATTTAGGTAGCTATTTTTCTAAAATACCCTCACATTAATTAGAGTACAACTTTATGGGAACTTGAATTGATGGTAAAAAAAGAATAAACTCTCATTAAATGGGATAGGTTTATAGTAACAACAATTTACATTGAATAAGGGTATTTTAGGAAAATTAAAATACAACTACATTCTTCAATTGGAAAGTGGACAACAATTTGGAACAGACGAAAAAGAAAAATAGGACTATCAAAGTAGGACGGAGGGAGTAATTTTTTTGAAAGGAAAAGTCTAGAGTATGTCTTGTGCTTGAGACTATATATGCTTTTTGGGCAAAGCTAGCCAGGACAAAAGCAGATTAATCTTATAGCAAGTCTGTGCTGACCAAGAAATATGCATAAGTTCTTTTTCCTTGTTTGGATTGCTTGTTTCCGTCGGAAGTGTGTTTGGATTGTAAGTTATTTGAAATATTTTTACTGTAGCACTTTTTGTGATGTGATGTATGTGAGATAAAAAAGTAATTGGGAAGATAAAAAGGTGTATTGGAAATTGTAATGGTGATGTCAGCAAATATATTTGGCCAAATAATTGGCTGTCCAAACACACTCATTAATATTTTCCGTGATCACATTTCCCTATCACCTTTTTCCCTCACATATATCAAATCGCTACAGTAATTTTTTCATGAAAAATGACGGAAAATGCAATCCAAACACAAAGCTTGTTCGTTTTTGTAGTTTTAATGAATTGTAATTCTTCTTATCATCCATAAGTTCCTTCTTATCTTATCACCAAGAAATAAAAGAAGAAGAAGAAGCATAAATTAGTAAAAATGTATAAAAAAAAAAAAGATAGTAGTAAATAACAATTAATTGCAGTAAAATTGTCAAACATGTATTGTTAGGTATTTTATTTTCTTCTCCTCAAACTTGGAAGTCATTTCTGCTCATAGAGTATTAGCACATTGCTTTAAAAACTTGCACCGGCCATTGACTCATTTTTCTCATTTTCTGACCAGTTCATTTGGGAGACCAAATGGTCTTTTTCCATACTTTAATACACCATATATAGTAGACAGGACGTTTCCTCAACGGTACCTTGATGAGAGCAAATTTAATCAATGTTCGTGTCTTGACATATGATGATGCTTAGTTGAAAAGGTCTAATTAGAAAAGTACCACATGTTGGGTGAATTTTCCCATACTTATTGATGAATGATTAAAAGGTTAGAAAAATTGATGAATGATAAAAAAAAAAAAAAGAGTAGTCATACACCAAAACTCAACGTGTTTATGAGAATTGATACTTGAGAGTAATAGTCAATCTCTCTTCCAATGACTTGAGTAGGATCACGTATGAAGGAGTTATTTAATTAAGTGTTATTATCTTTGCTAATTTGCTGTATTGACCTTAGAGTTGCTTTGGTAGTTAGCCTAAAATATTGGTTTCACTGGAATTTCATGCTAATTAGTCATTTAGAATTGATAATAAGGCACCTACAATGTTTATTAATGAATTATACATAGTTTTCTACCATTGTTACAACTAATAATTGCCATTGTTGAATCTTGTAATTATTAGATTTGTGCTAATTCCATCCTTATCTAACTATGGTTACTCTTGTTCAAATTCTTGCCGATCCTTTTCCATTGTAATGCTTTGGGATTCGGTTTTCCTTTTCAAAACACAGAAACAAATAGGATATAATCGTTGCCTTTTTTTCTCTTAAACTTGCTTAAGGTTGCATGTTGAAATGAAATTCTCCATACCTGCTATTTAATATTTTTCTACCCTTTATTATATTTTTATTTGTTGATAAATTGCAGGGAGTTTGTCTTTCCGAATTTACTGATCAAACACGTCTATATATTATTACTTCAAATGAGTGGATTACCTCTTACAATTTTCTTTTGCTTTGTTTCATTCTCTTATTAATTATTAAATCATACTAATTTGTTAATCATTATTATTTCAGTAACCCTTTCTTTCACGCACACCGGGCGTATTGCGCGGGGTAGCAATAGAATGCCGCTTGCTCAAATTGTCCAGATAGGTACATATGGACGTTTTTGGACCAGTTATTGCTACGCTGGGGCCTACAACGACACAATTTCTGCAGCTTGTCGACTAATGCAAGGCTTGGATTTGATTGGCGGTTCGTCAAATTACGAGAATGTTTGGATTCTACAAATCTTGACATGTTTGGATTGATGTTTTTGACAATTTTTTTTAAGCTCCTTTGTAAGTACAATTTTTTATCTCGCGTGTATCAAATTGTAACAATTTACAAAAACTAACACCAAACGAGTTTGATTTCAAATTTTCTCTATTGGAGTATAGCAGATAAAATAATAAGGTTTTGGTTTTGTTTTACCTACTATTTTATTAAGAGTCTGGTGAACCCATCACAAAATAATAATGAGGGGTTTCGAAATCAGCTGATTTCTTCAACAAAAAAAAAAACATCCGAAATGATTTTATAAAGAGAATCCAATAATACTACTTAATTAAGCACAAAAACTAGTACTCCAATACACTAAACTATCATTGAAGAGCGACCCTACGTACACCTTTTTTTATTTTACGTGAAATGCTGAAATTGTCATTCTTAAACGGTTTGAAGTACAACTAGACTCACTCACTCATGCTTATAATTGCTTATGATCGGAGGATCTCTTGCTTGTACAACTCCAATTCAATTTACCTTTGCTCATACATGGCCACTAGTTTGAAAACAGCAAAATGCACACAAAGCTAGAAGTATATGTACATGTAATTTGGATCCCTTTTTATTAATCTGCTGAATTTTGAAATCTGACTACTGAAATAATTAATTTGCTGAATTTTAAGCTTAAATGGTGTTCCAGCATAATTTGAACCAGTCATGTTCTCTAAATCTTGCCAAAACCCAAAACACACAAAAGAACAAAAACAAAACTGTGAAGCACATGAAGCAAACCGTGGAAATCCTACTCGGATGGATCTCACCCCCCACCCGACAAATTTTGTCCAAATTCCGAAAGTTAACTTTTATTATTGGCAAAACTGATAACGCATCCTAGCAAGTAATGATAAAAGCAAGAAGCAGTTGATGGTTCACGGGGTCCAACTACGGCTATCAGGCAACCCGTGCATCTACGAAAGCAGATGTCTCAACTTCTCCACTATTCTATTCTATGTTGGCTTCCTCTTCATCAGAAGCAATGAATGGTAGGCACTCATTCATTCATTGCTTCAATATCCCACTTTTCCTCGTTACGAAAAAAAAAAAAAAAACTTATTTCTTGTTGATAACTAGAAACTAGTGGGCAATCCTATGAATTCAGTTCCGGAGCTAATAAAGAAAATAGCACAAAAGGGCAATTTGGTGTACACAAACTACGAAGTCTTGAGATTAATTTCCGTTTGTAAGATCATGCCAAGCACTTAACAATAATGTCTTGAATGTGATTCTATTTTCTCTGTTTGTTAGCGGGACGTAGGGGGCAATCATTCGACTTAACTTTTTTTTTTTTTTTTAGCAGCGATGAGATGAAATTTAAGAAGCCGATAAGAAGAAGGGACATTTGAATCCTAAACAGATCATTCTTGAGTAAGGAATTTATTGATGCTCTCCTAGACTTTTATCTCTGTGAATGAGGATTTAAAGGGAGTCAGCTACCTATTTCGGCTCGCATAATTCTCTTATTCCTAACAAATGATCAAAGAATTTGCAGCCTCAAAAAAGGGAAAATACAATTAAAAGAATTTGCTTAGGAATGAGAGAATTTGGTTAGGCATGATATGCACGTGGTTTTTACAATTTTAACTAGCGTCGCGATCATCATCATATCCCTGTATGCAGAAAGCTGCCTCATCCATGCCAGCAATTATGGCTCTTTTAAATTTGTTGTGTGGCTTCTGGCCCCTACTAAAAACCACCGACTACAAAAGTTCCTTGGTCAAGTTTTGCTGCTACGGCCTACGAGCCACCAAGCCAATCCAAATTTGTCACGTCTCCAAGTTCATCTTTCTTGTACTGTCTGATGACAGATAGATCGTCTGCAATCTTAGTGAAAGTGCACTGTGATGTACCCAATCTTCATCTCTTACGACTCTCTTATTTCCAATGTCTGGCTTTTCCCGTTTCCTGCTGCAATATGATTAAGCACCTCATGTGAAAACGTTTCTATTTCTCCATCACTTGGACTTTGATTTTTTTTTTTTTTTTGTCATCACAGAGGGTATTTGGATCCATGGACTGGTAATACCGTACGACCCAACTAATCCCACTGCGTGACCAGGAGAGGCTGCCCAACATCACCGACCAAAGGTTATCCGAGGATTCGATCCCTGGACGTGACTCTCGCCCAACTGGACTACAACCACGGGACCGAACCCGAAGGGCCATCACTTGGACTTTGATTGTTTCAAGAGTGATTAGATGTGACTGTTGAAGATTCGGGATTATTATACATTTATACTATACATGAAATTACTCTTTACTTCATCATAATCTTGAGGATTTATCCCTAAGAATAGAATTTGTCTACTCAAATCTGTTTCACATTATGCCTAAAAACAAATATTTTATGCATAGAGACTTGTGTCTTGCGATCATAGAGAAAGGGAAATCAAATGGCAATGAACCAACCAAGATACATGATGTATAAGCAGTTCACAGGCTCAATTTATGTTTTTGAATCATGCCATTGCCATCTGTCATCAAACATCAAAACCAGAATGAGCAAATAGAAAATCACAATAGAGAACTCCATAGAAAACGTCAAAGCCAGAATGATTCCCGAGCGTCTTCTGCAAAATACTCATACCCAAGTCGAGAAAATACAAAGAAGATAAGATAAGCCATAAAAGGGAAAAAGGGATAGCGCCTATATAAATGGGGCTTTACCAAAGACATGTAACCCAAAAAACTGAAGCACAAGCACAGTAATGACTCCAAAAGAAAAGGAAAAAAAAAGTGAAGAAAGGTGAAAAGGAAAATCGGACCAAAATATAGGATAACACCAGTTAGGTATTATCCAACATATAACAGAAAGGAATACCATCATTCAATAGGCAAAGTAATACAGAAGATGCGTAGGCAGCATAACTGAAACTAAGCAACATGTCGTCTTTCAATAAGAATTTCCAGCATAACCAAAGACAGCTGCTGCAAAAACAAGCAAGAAAAGACAAAATGTATAATTCAATAGCGTAAATAGACCACACAACAGAAAATCTAAAGTAAACTAATCAATGTTTTAAAAGTAAGCAATAATAAGCATTCACTAATATTTTTTGCCCAGGATACTCTAGTTGCATGACTCAAAAACTCCCAAGTGGTTTAAACTTATGCCTTCTATCCCTTTGCAGCTTACAAAAAAAAAAGACCCATAACCCATCAAATGAATAGGCATACGAGTAGATAAAATAAGCCATAAAGGGCAGATGGAATAGTATTCAAACTACCGGGAGTTTGTGATTTAATCACCTACACTATCTGAGGCCAAAATATCCAGTCAATCATCTACTGGCTTCTTTTCTTTTTTTATTCTTTATCAGAGTATGAAACATGATATACATGCAAGCAGTTTTCAAGCTCAATTGATGTTTCTAATCATGCCATTTATCATCAGATATTAAAACCCAAATGAGAGAATAAAAAAAATTAGAATACAGAATTCCATATAAGTACTCTAAAGCCTTGAAGCATGACATAAACATGTACAAATAACTGGTGATCAATTTTATGCTATTTAGCTTCTATAGAAATAACTGGTAATCAATTCATTTTTGTCTTTCTATTTTTTAGTTTCAAAGTGCTTCAAAACAAAAACAAAGATTGTCTAGATCTCCCTTAAAACAGAACAAAATGAAGAGGCACATAGGAAAATTCCTAAGACCTTCAGCTTCTAACATGCAAAAACCAGAGTTAAACAAATTAAAAAAACAGCAATCTACACCATCGGGACTCAGTAGGAAGCAAGAATCCATAAATCGTGGTCTACAGCTACTATATGCAAACTCATGTACAGGGACAATATTCACAAATAATTTGGGATTAAGTCATAATTGATATCAAATAACAGATGAATCAGTTATATGCAGCAAGCAAGCATAGAACTCAAAAGAATCTAATCTACAAGAACGGGGGAAAAAGAAACACTAAAGAAATAATACTCATCTGAAAGCGTTGCTCCTCAAAAATCTTTCTCCACCGCAGGAAAAGAAAGCAATTCTCTTCACATGAACCTTTCTGCCCTTTCTCTCTCCCCCTCTCTGTTTTGAATTTTTGGAAGGTTAGAATACAATTGCAAGCTTTATGTAGAGGCTACTGGGTGTCAGTAAATGGCTAATTTTCACTGATGAGTGTCATCCGAATACCAATGATAAACTCAAACGGGTTGGTTTGGATGGATTAGTCATCATAAATTGGTAAATTGGGTTGAATAGAATATCACTCGGGAAAAGTTGAAATCTAATTGAGAGGTGTCTGTAGACAGTTGACATGGATAGTAAGTCAGTAATGTAGACAATAGTGAGGGTCAAAAATATTACAGAATTTTAATTCCCAGAAAAAAGGAGATAGGCAAGCACAATGGGCTCCTCTGGCACTGAAGATGGTGGCATTAATAGTAATACATAAAGCACTTTCATTGGAACCAAATTTTCAATCTAAGAATCAAGAATGCAAATATAAAGTTGATGTTGTTTGGATCAAAAGAGTTCATTTTTATGAGTTTAGACTATTGGAAGTACTTCATAGGTCAACTAACGATTTTCGTATACCTCTTTGTGAATTCTTGGCCTACTGATACGGATATGAAATGTTTGCAAGGGTACAAAAGTGCTTTCGATATGCTATTCCATTCCCTTGTGTCTTTAGGAAATAAGCGTGCCCAGGGAAGTGGATAGGTTTACAAGAAGATAAGATAACCAAAGGGATAATAGGATAGCATCCAAAAAGGGTCTTTAACTAAGACATGTAACCCAAGAAAGGAGCACGAACAGAATAATGATTCCAATAAAAGAATTGAAGAAAGATGAAAAGGAATATCAGACTAGACAAGAAATGATGGATAGAAAGGCCCATTCCTCTGGGCTGACAGCCAACTAAAAGTTTCATCCTAGAGAAATGACTCTCAGAAGCTATATCAAAGAAACTATGACAATGTTCAATGGTCTACATGAACTCCACAAAGAAATGCTAAATTGATTCGAAGAAATCGTAAGAAGACAACCTCCAAATGAACCTTGGTGCAACATGCTTTCTTGTAATTCTTCAGGATTTCTAGAATCTGAGATTCACTTTCTAATGACACCTTTTGGATCTCCAATTTATTTCTCCAGAACACTACTTATTCAACAAAAGATTTGTTGACTATCTCCCAAACTTGTAACAAACCCACAAATAAGTTCCAGGTAACTCGCCTATATTAATTTCAATTCCCTAACACAATATCAGAATCCAACAAAATGAAAATAACATCACTCCTCCTATCACCATCTAAATATTCAATTTAAATCCTTCAAGGCAACGTCCGTACTACAAGAGTCAAACTTTAACTTGCAAAGGGATAAAACTCTGCACAGTTCCACAAGGTACTTACTAAGCTTGGTATACTCTGGCTACCCCTTGCCTTAAACCTTGTAGACTGGTCAAAAACAACCTCCAAACGAACCATTCTATCATATGCTTTTTAGAAATTCCTCTGGATTTCCAGAACATAAGTTTCAAAGTTATTAACGTTATTTCTTTTCCCACACTAGTGCACAACTCATCTACCAAAAAATCTGTTCTCAATATTCAAAAATTATAACAAACTGACAGATGAATTTCAAGTCACTCAACTACATCAGACAGAATACAACAAAATCTCAGAATCTAATAAGACATAATACATAGTTCATTGTGTCACCATCTGAATACATAAACTCTAAAGTACGACGTTAGAAAGAGTCCTATATTTGCCAGCAATGGAACTAAACTCGGCACAAATGTAAGAATTTCACACTAAACTTAGTATGTTCTTGTTATTTTTTGCCATCAACCTCATAGAATGGTGAAAACCAACCCATAAACCTTGGTGCAATATGCTTTCTTGTAATTCTTGGGATTTATAGGACCTAAAATTCAGTTTCTAGTTCACCTTTTTTCTTTCTCCAAACGTGCCACTTATCTGCCATTGAAGTCATTGACAACAATCCAGACTTTTTTCAAACTCAAATAGATTCCAAGTAACTCACATAGATTAATTAGAATCCAACCAAAATCTCAGAATCCAAAACTATGCCCATATACTCTGTTCCACCTGGCACCCATTTAAATACTCAAATAAAGTGCTAAACTGCAACTTCATTACATGAGAGTCCTATATTTGCCTGCAAAGGGCAAAACATTGCACAATTCACCTAATTCTGGACAAAACCCATCCAAATGAACACTGTTGCAATATGCTTTCTAGTAATTCTTGGGATTCATAGAACCTAAGTTTCAGTTTCTCTAAAAAAAAATGTTTCAGTTTCTAATTGACCATTTTCTTTTCTCCAAAGGACCACTTATCAACCATTAAAGTATTTGAAACATTCAAAATTTTTAACAAACTCAAATAGATTCCAAGCAACGGACCTACATTAATTATAATCAGACAAAATCTCTAAATCCGAAGCACATATACTTTATTCCACCTGTCATGCATTTGAATAATCAAATCAAATGCCAAAAATGACAAAGAGCAATGGCATTAAATAAAAGTCCTATAATTTCCAGCAAAGGACAAAATTCTGGACAACTCACCTAAAATGAACCTTGCTACAATGTGCTATGCTATCTTGTAAATCTGGTTCTAGAAGTTCACTTTCAGATTCTAAAAACCAATTTTCTTTTCTTTGCTTATTGCACCACAATACTTCTTGCCTACCACAAAATCATTGGTAATACGGCAGATTTTAACAAACCCACAGATAAATTCCAAGTAACTCACCTAGATTAGATAGAATCCAAAAAGACGCAATACTAAGTTCCTTGTGTTGCTATCTGGGCATTCAATTTAAATCCCAAAACGCAACGTCCTTGAATATAAGTCCTCCCAAATTGCCTGCGAAGGAACCAAACTCTGCAGAAAGCCAACAAACTATGAACTAGACTTGGTATGTTCTGGTCACTCTTTGCCTTGAGCCTTGTAGAATGGTAAAAAAACCTCCAAATGAATTATGCTGCAATATGCTTAGTAGTAATCTTGGGATTTCTCGAAGCTAAGTTTCTTTACTAAATAACCTTTTTTCTTTCCTCTATTTAATTAACAAGAACACTACTAATTGATCATCAATACAGCAAATATTTAACAACCAACAAATAAATTTCAAGCCGCTAACCTAGATTAGAAAGAATCCCAAAAGATGCAATACTTAGTTCCTCATATTACCATATGGACCAATCAATCTAAATCTAGAAGTGAAATGTCCTTGTATATGAGTCCTCCAAATGCTTGCAAATGAACCAACCAGCAAACTTCCAACTGAACTTTGTATGTTCTGGTTAATCTTTGCCTTAAGCCTTGCAGATACTTAGTTCCTCATGTTACCATATGGACCAATCAATCTAAATCCAGAAGTGAAATGTCCTTTTATATGAGTCCTTTAAATGCTTGCAAATGAACCAAACTCTGCACAATATCCAACTGAACTTTGTATGTTCTGGTTACTCTTTGCCTTAAGCCTTGCAGAATGGAGAAAAAACAACCTTAAAATTGCCTTACTGCAATATTCTTACATGTAGATTTAGAATTTCCCAAACCTAAGTTTCTGTTTTAAATAACCTTTCTTTTTTTCTCCATTTATTTAACTAGAACACTAGTAATCAACTGTAAAATTCATTGGCAATACTCCAGTTATTTAATAACCCACAAATAAATTCCCAAAAACTCACCTCGACCAACGAAGACCAACAAGATACAACATAAACTTTGCTCTTCCTGTCACCATTTGTATATTCAATTGATACCTAAGTCTGCACGACACCAGTAAACTTCTAATTAAACTTGGTATGTTGTAGTTACTCTTTGCCTTAAGCCTTGTACAAAGGTTAAAAAGCAACTACAAATGAACCTTGCTGTAATATGCTTGCTTGTAATCCTTGGGATTTCTGAACCTAAGTTTCTGCTCTACATGACCTTTTTTCTTTTCTCCATTCAACCGGAACACCAGTAATCTATCATAGTATTCAATGACAATACGCCAAACTTTAACAACCTAGAAATAAATTCCAAGCAGCTCACCTAAATTAATTAGAATCCAACAGCACACGAACATACTTTGTTCCTCCTATCACCATTTGAGTATTCAACTGATACTCTAAAGTGCAATGTCCTTACTCAAGAGTCCTATATGTACCTGCAAAGGGCAAAACTCCGCACAATTCAAACTTCTAATCATCCTTGTCTATATACCATTTTTCTGATTCTAAATACCATTTCTTTTTTTGTCCATCTATTTCAATTCAATACTACTTCTACCATGAAATTACTGACAATACTCGAAAATTGTAACAAACCAGTAGATAAATCCTAAGTAACTCACCTAAACTAAGCAGAATTCAAAAGATGCGATATTCAGTTCCTTGTGTCACCATCTGGCCAATCAATTAAATTAGACTGAATCCAAAAGATGCGATATTTAGTTCCTTGTGTCACCATCAGGCCAATCAATTAAATCCCAAAGTGCAATATCCTTGTTTATGACTCCTCTAAATGCCTACAAAGGAACTAACTCTGCACAATTAACACAGCAAACTTCTAACTAAACATGGAAAGTTCTGGTTACCTTAAGCCTTGTAGAATTCTAAAAAATGTTTCCAAATGAACCTTGTGGCAATACTTGTAATTCTTGGGATTGCTCAAACATATTTTCTTTTCTCCACTTATTTAACCAGAACACTACTAATTGATTATAAAATTCATAGGCAATACTTCAAATATCTAACAACTCATAAATAAATTCCAAGTAATCAATTAGTTTGCAACAAGATGCACATACACTTTGTTCCTCCCAAAGTGCAACGTCCTTACATACGAGTCCTATATATACCAGCAAGGGATATAAAGTCTAAAAAATTTCAAACTTAGTGTGTTCTTGCTACTCTTTGCCATTAACCTTATAGAATCGTAAAAACCAACCTATAAACCTTGGTGCAACATGCTTTCTTGTAATTCTTGGGATTTCCAGAACCTAAGTTTCGGTTTCTAATTAACCTTTTATCTTTTCTCCAAAAGCACCACTTATTAAAGTCATTGACAACATTCCAGATTTTTTACAAACCCAAATAGATTCCTAGGAACTCACTGAAATTAATTAGAATCCAAACAAAATCACAAAATCCAATACAATGTGCATATACTCTGTTCCACCCACCACCCATCATTTAAATACTCAAATCAAACGTCAAGTTGCAACTTCATTACATGAGAGTCCTATATTTGCCTGCAAAGGACAAAAATCTGCACAATTCATCTAAATCATGACAAAACAACCTCCAAATGAACCTTGGTGCAATATGCTCTCTAGTAATTCTTGTGATTTGTAGAACCTAAGTTTCAATTTCTAATTGACCCCTTTCTTTTCTACAAAACACTACTTATCTACCATTAAAATCATTGACAATATTCCAGATTTTTAACAAACTCAGATAGATTCCAAGCAACTGACCTAGATTAATTATAATCAGGCAAAATCTCAAAATCCAACTTGCATAGACATTATTCCACCTATCACCCATTTGAATACTCAAATCGAATGCCAAAGTGCAACATCATTAAATAAAAGTCCTATAATTGCCTACAAAGGACAAAACTCTGGCCAATTTACCGAACTTCTCACTAAGCATAATATGTTTTGTTTACTTATTGCCTTAAACACTGTAGAATGATCAAAAACAACCTTTAAAATGGACCTCACAACACTGTTCTTTCTTGTAAATTTGGTTCTAGAAGGTCACTTTCAGATTCTAAGTACCAATTTTCTTATCTCCATTTATTGCACCTGCATACTTCTTGCCTACCACAAAATCATTGGTAATACTCCAGATTTAACAAAGCCACAGAAAAATCCAAGTAACTCACCTAAATTTAGATATGCAATACTTAGTTCCTTGTGTCACCATCTGGACATTCAATTTAAATCCTAAAGTGCAACATCCATGTATATAAGTCCTCTAAATTGCCTGCAAAGGAACCAAACTCTGCAGAACACCCGCAAACTACAAACTAAACTTGATATGTTCGGGTTACTCTTTGCCCTGAGCCCTGTAGAATGGCAGAAACACAACCTCCAAATAAACTTTGCCGAGATATACTCAATTGTAATCTTGGGATTTCTCAAAACTAAGTTTCATTCCCAAATAACCTTTTTTTTTCCTTTTCTCTATTTATTTAACCAGAACAGTACTAATTGATCATGAATTTCATTTGCGATGCTCCAGATATTTACCAACCCACTAACAAATTTCAAGCCACAAACCTAAATTAGAACGAATTCCAAAAGATGCAATACTTAGTTCCCCATGTTACCTTATGGAAAATCAATCTAAATCCTGAAGTGAAATGTCCTTGTATACAAGTCCTCTAAATGCCAGCGAAGGAACCAAACTCTGCACAACACCAACAAACTTCTAACTGAACTTTGTTTTTTCTAGTTACTCTTTGCCTTAAGAATTGTAGAATGGTGAAGAAACAACCTCCAAAATGCTTTACTGTAATATTCTTACTTGTAAATAATGGAATTTCTCAAACCCATGTTTCTGTTTTACCTAACATTTCTTCTTTTCTCCATTTATCTAACCGGAATAGAAGCAATCCATTGTAAAATTCGTTGGCAATACTCCAAATATTTGATAACCCAAAAATAAATTCCCTGTAACTCATTTCAACCAATTAAGACTAACAAGATGCAACCTAAACTTTCCTCTTCGTGTCACAGTTTGAATGTTCAATTGATACCTAAAATGCAATGTCTTCACATAAAAGTCCTATATACACCTGCAAAGGGCAAAATTCTAGACAATTCTAAATAGTACTTATCTCAATATCATTTTTTTGGATTCTAAAAATCATTTTTACATTCTCCATTTATTTCACCACAATTATACTTGTCTACTATAAAATTAATGACAATACTCAATATACCTAAGAAACACACAGATAAATCCCAAGTAACTCACCTAAATCAGATGGAATCCAAAAGATACAGCCCTTAGTTACTTGTGTCACCATGTAAACATTCAATTTAATCCTAAAGTGCAATGTCCTTGTTTATGAGTTCTCTAAATGCCCACAAAGTAATCAAAGTCTGCACGACACCAGCAAACTTCTAATTAAACTTGGTATGTTGTAGTTACTCTTTGCCTTAAGCCTTGTACAAAGGTTAAAAAGCAACTACAAATGAACCTTGCTGTAATATGCTTGCTTGTAATCCTTGGGATTTCTGAACCTAAGTTTCTGCTCTACATGACCTTTTTTCTTTTCTCCATTTGTCAACCGGAACACCAGTAATCTGTCATAATATTCAATGGCAATACGCCAAACTTTAACAACCTAGAAATAAATTCCAAGCAGCTCACCTAAATTAATTAGAATCCAACAGCACGCGCACATACTTTGTTCCTCCTATCACCATTTGAGTATTCAACTGATACTCTAAAGTGTAATGTCTTTACACAAAAGTCCTATATATACACCTGCAAAGGGCAAAACTCGGCACAATTCTTAATAATCCTTGTCTATATACTATTTTTCAAGTTCTAAATACCATTTCTTTTTGCTTCAGCAATTTCACCTCAATACTACGAGTACCATGAAATTACTGACAATACTCGAAATTTGTAACAAACCAATAGAGAAATCCCAAGTAACTCACCTAAATTAGACAGAATCCAAAAGATGCGACACTCAGTTCCTCGTGTCACATCTGGACCTTCAATCAGATCCCAAAGTGCAACATCCTTGTTTACCAGTCCTCTAAACGCCTGCAAAGGAACCAAACTCTGCAAAAAACAGCAAACTTCTAACTGAACTTGGAATGTTCTGGTTATCTAAGTCTTATAGAATGCTAAAAGAGGTCCAAATGAACCTTGTGGCAATACACTTGGGAAATTCTTGGGATTTCTCGAACTTATGTTTCTGTTCTAAATAACCTTTTTTTTTCCTGTTCTCCACATATTTAACAAGAGCACTACTAATCAGCATAAAATTCATAGGCGATATTCCAAATAATTCACAATCCACAAATCAATTTCAAGAAACTCAATCACTTTGCAACAAGATGCATATATACGTTGCTCCCCCTGTCACCACTTGAATATTCAATTCATACATCAAAGTGCAAAATCCTTATATGAGAGTCCTACATATGCTAGCAGAGAGTATGACTCTACCCAATTCACCTAACTTCTTACTAACCTTTGCATGTTTTCCGTACTCTTTGCCTTAAACCTTGTCGAATAATCGAGAACAACCTCTAAATGAAACTTAGTGCGATATGCTTTCTTGTAAATGTCTGGAATTTCTAAAAAGCTCACTTTCAGTTCCTAATTAACCTTTTTCTTTTCTATATTTATTTCACCACAGTACTACTTATTTACAATAAAATCTATTGATAACATTTTAAGCTTGTAACAGACCCATAAAATAGAATTGGAGTAACTCATCTAGATTTGATAGAACCAAATAGATCTAAGAATCCAAAAAGATGTAACTTTAGTCCCTCATATCATATTCAATTTAAATCCTAAATTACAATACCCTTACATAAGAAGCATACAAAGGCCTAAGCAGTTGACGAATGAAGTCTTTCCAAGAGTTTAAACACATAGGAATGAATTCTTTAGACCCAAACAACATCAAAAACAAAATTGCATTCTAGATTCTCAGAATTGAAACTTTAGTTCTAATGAAAGCCTTCAGTTCTCTACCCATGGCACCCACAGGAATGCTAGAGGAGTTAATTGCATACGTATTTTCTCTTTTCTGAAAATTAAAATCCTGCCCTTTTTTGTCCATCACTACCCTAAGCATCACCCAATGCTTTCCATTAAGTTCATTAGTCTCCATTAAAAATCTACAGCCATTTCTACATTAGAATCAAAATTTTCTAATGCGATTTAGGATTATCTCTGTTGGGTTTCAATCTCTAATGATAAGCAGCATAGATAAAAAATATAACTGAGCTCAAAGGACTGATTGTGCAGTTTTGTTTCGTTCTTCAGTCTCAAAATGTCTAAAATCATCAGAAGTATTAGTCAGAGATTTTAATGTAGGCAACAAGTAAATCATTCACTTAAGAATTTTGGCCACAAATAGTGTACTTGCATGACTCAAAAACTCCATATGGTACCATCTATCCCTTTTTGGCTTACAAAAAAAGAACCCATTCCCTATTGAAAATGAGTAGATAAAATAAGCCATATAGGGCCAACGACACGTCATTTAAACCATAAGAGGTCTTCAGTCATGCAATGACACTATTTGAGGCAAAAAAAGTTTAGGAAATAATGACTTGTAGCCTACTTTAAGCACTTTGACTAATATTTCTATTGATTTTAATCATTTTCAAATTGAAGTCTGAAATAAACTGCACAATCAGTCACAACGTACTCCACATATATTTTTGAATTATGCCAATACCATATGAGAACGAAACCCAGTGGAGAGAATCGAAAATCACGCTAGAAAATTTGAAATCTAACTGTGAGGTGGTTGTAGAGAGTTGATATAGACTAATGAACCTACTGGGACTAAGTCAGAAATGCTTGCAGTAATGAGGGGCCAAAAAATTGCAGGATTTTAAATCCCAGAAAAAAAGGAGATAGGCATGCGCAATTGGCTGCTCTAGCACTGAAGATGGTGCCATGGATAGTAATAAATAAATGGCTTTCATTAGAACCAGATTTTCAATCTAAGAATTAAGGAAGCAAATTTGTGATTGATGTTATTTGGGTCCAAAGAGTTCATTTTATGTGTTTAGACTATTCGAAGGACATCATGGGTCAACTAACACTTTTTGTATACCACTTTGTGAAATGCTATTCTACTCCATTGCATCTTTGGCAATTACTCATACTCCATGAACTGGACAAGAGGATAAGATAAGCAATAAAAGGGAAAATGGATAGCACCTAAAATGGGGGCTTTGCCTAAGACATGTAACCCATAGACAGAAGCACGAGCAGAGTAATAATTCCAACAAAAAAATTGAAGAATGGTGAAAAGGAAAATCAGACCAAATGACAGGAAATCATAAATGGAAAGGCCCATCCCTCTTGGGTGACAGGAAGCTGAAATTTCCTCCTAGCAAAATGACTTTCAGAAGCTATATCAAAGAAAGTATGACAATATATTTTCTAACCCTTGTAACTTACAAAAGAGTACCTGTAGCTCAAAATGAAGGCTGATGGAATATAAAGAAACCAAAAGTGGGTCATGTGCATTCTCACGAGCGAAAAATCAAAGCCTAATGAGGGAAAGCAACAATTTATTGCCATTCAACAACAAAAGAAACTATCAGCAATCAATTCTAAGTCTTTAGTAACTGAGACAAGTCTGTTTTCTTTTTCTTTCTTTGTTTTTTTTTTTTTGAGAATTTCCATCTAAGCATCAACATCAGTTAGGTACCATCCAAAATATAACAAAAAGGAATACCATCATTCAATAGGCAAATTACTACAGAACATGCCTAGGCAGCATAACTGAAACTAAGCTACATGTCTTTCAATAAGTACTTCTTGCATAACCAAAGACAGCTGATGCAAAAACAAGCAAGAAAAGATAAATTGCATAATTCAACAATGTAAACAGACCACGCAACAGAAAATCTAAAGTAAACTAATCAAAGTGCTAAAAGTGAGCAATAAGTATTCACTAGTATTTTTTGCCCTGGATAATCTAGTTGCGTGACTCAAAAACTCCATATGGTTTAGACATATATCTTCTATCCCTTTGCGGCTTACAAAAAAAAGGACCCATAACCCATCAAATGAATAGGGATACGAGCAGATAAAATAAGCCACAAAGGACAGATGGAATAGTATTCAAACTACTGGGAGTTTGTGATTCAATCACCTATATTATCTGAGGCCAAAATATCTAGTCAATCATCTACTGGCTTCTTTTTCTTTTTCTTTTTCTTTTTTTTCTTTATCAGAGCAGGTTTCAAGCATGATATAAACATGTGCAAAGAACTGGTGATCAATTTAACGCCATTTAACTTCTATAGAAATAACTGGCATCCAATTGCTTTTTGTCTTTCTTTTTTGATTTTCAAAGTGCTTCAACATAAAACAAAGAATGTCTAAATCTCCCTTAAAACAGAACCCATGCACAGGGACAAGTTCACAAATAATTTGGCTTTAAGTCATAATTGAATGCAAATAACAGATAAATCGGTTATATGCAGCAAGAAAGCAGGGAACTTGAAGAAGATTATGCAACAAGAAAGCACGAAACCTGAAGAATCTCATCCCCAAGAAGGGGGGAAAACAAAGAAACAGTAAAGAAATAATACTCATCTGAAAGCGTTTCTCCTCAAAAATCTTTCTTCATTGCTGGAAAAGTAAGCGATCCTCTAAGCAAAAATTGAATTCATCCCCCAATTTTCTGATTTCCCTGCCCACTCTCTCCCCCTCTCTTTGTTTGGAATTTTTGGAAAGTGAGAAGACAAGCGCGAGCCTTATATATAGGCTGCTGGGTGCCGCCAACGCTAGTGTGGTCCGAATACCAACGGTAAACTCAAACGGATAGATTTGTTACTTGTAATTTGCAAATGACAGACGGGTTTGGTTCCGAATTTCATTTGTCTAACCGGGCTGGAGCACTCATTATGGGCCTCAGATTTTATTTTCTTAAAAGAAGTAGTGTATGTCATCCCAAAAAAAAAAAAGTGACAAAATACAAAGTGAACAATCTATTTCCTAAATTTTTCAATGCTTCTTAACATAATACAAATAAACACTCAGTAGAAGTGACTTAGATACATTGTGGTTAAGGCATACCCAATGTGTGCGCTACTAATAAAAAGATATTAAAAATGATTAGTATTATTTTTATTGAAAAATAGTAATTTAAATAATTATACTGTTGTAGTATTTTAAAAAAATGGTAGTTTTTTGTAAGTTGAGTGGTAGTTAATTCAATAAATCTGAAACGGTTGTAAGGAGGTGAATAGTTAAAATGATGTAATTTTCTTTAGAATTAAGGGTAAATTAGGCAATACATTAAATGACACAATTTGTTTATATCGAACCCCTCCCTCCCAATTTATATATAGTAAGATATTTGTCCTTACATTTTTTTTTTCTTTCTAAAAGTGACCTAGGTGCATTTGTATCAAAATCATTTAATTTCATTGGGGCATAATCTATTCTTTTATTGTACTATGTCATGTGCCAGAATCCAATTTAATTTGTAATTGTTAGGTTGATTGTATTGTATGAGGAAAAGTTGACAAGTAAAATTGACCTACTAGTTAGTTAAATAGTGGCAATCATTGGCACTTAAACTCACAAGGTGTTAATAAGTGTTATCCAATATCAAAATATCAAAAAGAAAAAGAATGAAAAAAAAATACTTCAACAAGTGACTCTATTTGCAATGTTATGTTAAAAAATTACTGCAGCGCCCTTTTATGATGTAATATATGTACTAAAAAGATGAGTATGAAAATAAAAGGTATTTGAAATAATGTTTTTCTAACAGGTGCCCATTAAACACTCATTAACACACTTAAATTTTGCTCAATCTACCATATATGCACACACATACCACCCTCCCTGTTATTTATATGATTTTCCTAATTAATCTTACCTTTCAAAAAATTTAACATCTAAAGTACAGCTTAACAAGTGTCAAACCCATTAGACAACTCTATTGAAAAACGTATTTGTGATGCAAGCACAAACATTATTTAAAATAATCACTTATCCAAATGCAATACTTGATACATGTTTCCTAATATATTATTGAACGCTTAATACTTTCTTATAAGAAACCTCTCGAGAAAATTTTAAATAATTAGAAAAGTAAGTGTTTTTTATATGATATAGATATAGGTATAGATATTTTTTCGGTCCTTCACAATATATAGACATAAGTGTAAATTCACTAACCAAGTAAAGCAATCCACAACATCAACTATCAATTCACAAAAAACATCGTTTAGACTCCCCTGTGGTAGAAAATGGATTAGCAAACTCATAGAAAAAATCATCCAGACTCATAGAAAAAATCATCCAGTCTTATTTTTTTGTCTTTTTTTTCTTTTCCCTAATTGGAGCATTCTAGTCGCTAGGATCATTCCCATCTTCTTCTTATTGAGGTGATCGATTTTGATATTCTAAACATGCATGAGTACAAATAGTCATGAAGTGCATATGACCATTAATCAAATATCAATATTTAAAACAACTCTTCTTTGTTTTGTCCTTTCTATCGAATTCTACAGTATATATCCACGTTTACACAAGGGTAAAAAATCTCAGCGGCCACTAAACAACTTAATCAGTAAACTCGTGACCATTTAGTCGATAATTACTCTTAATTTGTAAAATTAGCAGTTAATCGGTGAAATAGGATCGTGTAATTGTTGAACAAAATTACCCCGTACTTTGCCACGTGTACAACTAATTTCACAGATTAAGAGCAATTATCGACTAAATGGTCACGGATTTTCTGATTAAGTTGTTTAGTAGCCAATTACTGACGAAAAATAATTTGATGGCCAAAACATGATCTGACCAATAGTTTAGTGGTTGCTTAGGCTTTTTGCCCTTCACACAACCATAACCCGATAACAAAAGTACCAGCCACAACTCAATACCATAGGTAACAAAACTTTTCAGGTAATTTATATCGCAAATCGGTCTTAAGACTTTGAAAATTAACATTGACTTTATATATGATGCTTAAAACGAGAGTCTGTTTAACCAATTAATTGGTGGCTATTAGACTTAGCTCCACCATTGGCATTTGAGGCATAGCAATAAATTGGCTTCCAAGGGCTTCCTTCGAAGATGTGAAGAAGGTGCAGGAAGGTAATAGATATAAGTGATACTATATTAATACGAGAGAGTTTATTAAATACGAGAGAGATTTGCCAAAAAAAAAAAAAAGTTGTTTGTGCACGCATTTAGATGATGAGTTGAGTCTAATGAGTATCCCGAATAAATATAGCTAAGCGGTGTTTAGTGATCACTCATGATTTGTCTTGTCTAGGGCACTCAATTATCATTTTAAAGGGGCCAAATATTTATTTTATGGAAAAAGGTAAAGTTTTAATATCAGGAGACCATACAACAAATCGTAGCTTATGGGTTTATATGTTAAGTTGTGTGTATCAATGAGCCAATTGGACACATTAAAAAAAAATCCAGTAGGGTCTCGCCAATACTTCTATGTAGGAAGAAGTTAAACCAATTAATTATAATGTTGAGCAATCGGTACGCCAGAATATTGCCCCATTTGGCAAGTGAATTTTTTGGGTGTTTGTCTAAAACTTTACTGTAGTTTACTGTAAAAGTTTTTAAAAAATTTTTTAAAGTGTGTAAATTTTTGAATATTTTGAAGTGTATAGTTTAAAAATTTTGAAAAGTTTTTTGAGATTACTGTAGTTAAAATTTTTAAAAAACTTGTAGCAAATAAACTGGGCAAAAAACTTATCTGCCAAACAAGGTTGTTTAGATTCTTAGTTACGATCACCATCATATTCTTGATTTTATGGTCGATCTTCAAGGAAGTCTAGTACGTGGTATTAACCTCTCTTTTTAATGGCGAAGGCCTGCTTACTTTCGTTTTTGGGTCCGTGCTAATTAAGATAATTTTCAATTTTCATTTTATCCACATCTGGATAGCGTTTTGAAAATTGGATTGGATTGATCGGTTTGATTGGGCAAACCACAAATTAGCCTTGATTCTGATGTGATTCATATTTTGGGTTGACTAGACCTAAAAATCGATCAAAACCGTATGAACCATGCGAGCCAAAAACAAACTGTAGTTTTATACTTTGTCAATTAAATTGAAAAGGAAGAGAAAAAAAAAGAATAGCTTTTTTTTGAACCCTAAAGATTAATTACTAAAATTTATCTTTAAAGGTCCAAGTTCATTTGAAATGTCAAATGATGTCTTAAATTAGTCAATGGAATGTCTTACTTTGTACACCTATATTTATATATTTCATTCTTTTCAAACAAAAAAATTATTGAACTTGGATTGTATCAGTCAGATTGTCTGAACCACAACCCGAACACTTCAATGATTCACTTACCCGTTTGACTTGTAAAACATTGCATAGGGACGTTATCCTACAAGCTCTTCACGAAATAATTTTCCATTGGAAAAGGAAAAACAGAATTGGTCTTGATTAATGTTACGTGTCATACACAATGGACAAAGTAGGTGCCGAGCGGGCAAGGTGCATGAAGAAATGAAAGTTTGGATGAAATCATGGCATTTGAGTGGCCTTAAGTTACAGGCAAACAAATCCTCCGAGAGCAATGCGTGTAACCAAACGAAGCAAAGCACATTTGGAAAGTAAGTTGAACCACGACAATCCAGCTTCCTGTGAGCCTCAAATTCTCATCTCAAAATTTGTTAGGAACACTACCGGTGCTAAAGCTCATCCTCACCTCCATGGATGTATATATTTATAAGTAGCATCAAATAAGGTTTAAAGTACATGTACGGTTTACGTACAGTTAGCAATCAATATAAACATTTGACCGTAAATTATTCAGAAGTGATGAGTACTACATTTTGCATCACTTTATTCTCTTCATGGCTACTCCTGGCATCCATTGTAGGCGCCCAATCAAGACCTTTAGATGTCAGAAGCTTTGGTGCAAAGGGAGATGGAGTTTCCGATATCAGCCAGGTAAATAAATTTACACGCGAGAGATCGACAAAATTTTAATTCTGTTATCCTATCCAAAGTGTGCATTATCATTTGCATGTCATTCTGATCAACTGATGTTTCTCAGGCATTATTGAGTGCTTGGAAAGCAGCCTGTAATTCTCCAAAACCAAGCACGATTGTGATTCCCAGAGGCACATTTGGATTACTTCAAGCATCCCTTGAAGGTCCTTGCAAGGCCCCCATCGAACTTCAGGTACAAGGCACTCTCAAAGCTCCACAAAATCCTAACCTAATCAAGGATGGTGAATGGGTGACCATCCAGTACTTGGACCATTTTACACTCTCAGGCTCCGGTACCTTTGATGGCCAAGGAGCCAGAGCTTGGGCCCAAAATGATTGTGCCAAAGCCTCCGATTGTAGCAAACTTCCAAATGTAAGCCTCTTAATGCACCAATTATATACGAGTAAAACACAATTTTCACGCACCAGTTCTAATTGGATTCTAGATCAGAGGCCAAGTTACTCATTTAATTAAAACAGTATTAGTACCTCGCACCAGTTGATTCTTTATTGTGCTTGTGGCTTGGAGTTTGCAGAATTTTAGCTTCAACTTCCTCAACAATTCCATTATCAGCGGCATAACTTCTCTGAATAGCAAATTATTTCACATGAATGTTCTGGGATGCAACAATGTGACGCTTTCACGCCTTACAATCACTGCTCCAGGAACTAGTCTGAATACTGATGGAATCCACGTGGGGCGTTCCAGCGGAGTAAACATAACAGACTCAACCATAGGAACAGGGGACGACTGCGTCTCACTTGGAGATGGAT